GAGTTTCTTAGTCCTGAGTTGTGGTTTGATTGCACTGTGGTCTGAGAGACAGTTTGTTATAATTTCTGTTCTTGTACATTTGCTGAGGAGTGCTTTACTTCCAATTATGTGGTCTATTTTGGAATAAGTGTGATGTGGTGCTGAGAAGAATATATATTCTGTTGATTTGGGGTGGAGAGTTCTGTAGATGTGTATTAGGTCTGCTTGCTGCAGAGATGAGTTCAATTCCTGGATATCCCTGTTAACTTTCTGTCTCATTGATCTGTCTAATGTTGACAGTGGGGTGTTGAAGTCTCCCATTATTATTGTATGGGAGTCTAAGTCTCTTTGTAAGTCTCTAAGGACTTGCTTTATGAATCTGGGTGCTCCTGTATTGGGTGCATATATATTTAGGAGAGTTAGCTCTTCCTGTTGAATTGATCCTTTTACCATTATGTAATGGCCTTCTTTGTCTCTTTTGATCTTTGATGGTTTAAAGTCTGTTTTATCAGAGACTAGTATTGCAACCCCTGCTTTTTTTTTTGTTCTCCATTTGCTTGGTAGATCTTCCTCCATCCCTTTATTTTGAGCCTATGTATGTCTCTGCATGTGAGATGGGTCTCCTGAATACAGCAAACTGATGGGTCTTGCCTCTCTATCCAGTTTGCCAGTCTGTGTCTTTTAATTGGAGTATTTAGTCCATTTACATTTAAGGTTAATATTGTTATGTGTGAACTTGATCCTGCCATTATGATATTAACTGGTTATTTTGCTCATTAGTTGATGCAGTTTCTTCCTAGCCTCGATGTTCTTTACATTTTGACATGTTTTTGCAATGGCTAGTACCGGTTGTTCCTTTCCATGTTTAGTGCTTCCTTCAGGGTCTCTTGTAAGGCTGGCCTGGTGGTGACAAAATCTCTAAGTATTTGCTTATCTGTAAAGGATTTTATTTCTCTTTCACTTATGAAACTTAGTGTGGCTGGATATGAAATTCTGGGTTGAAAATTCTTTTCTTAAGAATGTTGAATATTGGCCCCCACTCTCTTCTGGCTTGGAGAGTTTCTGCCGAGAGATCTGCTGTAAGTCTGATGGGCTTCCCTTTGTGGGTAACCCGACCTTTCTCTCTGGCTGCCCTTAAGGTTTTTTCCTTCATTTCAACTTTGGTGAATCTGGCAATTATGTGTCTTGGAGTTGCTCTTCTCGAAGAGTATCTTTGTGGCGTTCTCTGTATTTCCTGAATTTGAATGTTCGCCTGCCCTACTAGGTTGGGGAAGTTCTCCTGGATGATATGCTGAAGAGTGTTTTCCAACTTGGTTCCATTTTCCCCCTCACTTTCAGGAACCCCAATCAGATGTAGATTTGGTCTTTTTACATAATCTCATACTTCTTGCAGGCTTTGTTCATTTCTTTTTCTTCTTTTTTCTTTAGATTTCTCTTCTCGCTTCATTTCATTCATTTGATCCTCAATTGCTGATACTCTTTCTTCCAGTTGATCAAGTCGGTTACTGAAGCTTGTGCATTTGTCACGTATTTCTTGTGTCATGGTTTTCATCTCTGTCAGTTCGTTTATGGCCTTCTCTGCATTAATTATTCTAGTTATCAAATCTTCCACTCTTTATTCAAGATTTTTAGTTTCTTTGCGCTGGGTACGTAATTCCTCCTTTAGCTCTGAGAAGTTTGATGGACTGGAGCCTTCTTCTCTCATCTCATCAAAGTCATTCTCCATCCAGCTTTGATCCATTGCTGGCGATGAGCTGCGTTCCTTTGCAGGGGGAGATGTGCTCTTATTTTTTGAATTTCCAGCTTTTCTGCCCTGCTTTTTCCCCATCTTTGTGGTTTCATCTGCCTCTGGTCCTTGATGATGGTGACGTACTGATGGGGTTTTGGTGTGGGTGTCCTTCCTGTTTCTTAGTTTTCCTTCTAACAGTCAGGACTCTCAGCTGTAGGTCTGTTGGAGATTGCTTGAGGTCCACTCCAGACCCTGTTTGCCTGGGTATCAGCAGTAGAGGCTGCAGAAGATAGAATGTTGCTGAACAGTGAGTGTACCTGTCTGATTCTTGCTTTGGAAGCTTCCTCTCAGGGGTGTACTCCACCCTGTGAGGTGTGGGGTGTTGGTCTGCCCCTAGTGGGCATGTCTCCCAGTTAGACTACTCAGGGGTCAGGGACCCACTTGAGCAGGCAGTCTGTCCATTCTCAGATCTCAACCTCCACGTTGGGAGATCCACTGCTCTCTTCAAAGCTGTCAGACAGAGTCGTTTGCGTCTGCAGAGGTTTCTGCTGCTTTTGTTGTTGTTGTTGTTTAGCTGTGTCCTGTCCCCAGAGGTGGAGTCTACAGAGACAGGCAGGCTTCTTTGAGCTGCTGTGAGCTCCACCCAGTTCGAATTTCCCAGCGGCTTTGTTTACCTACTTAAGCCTCAGCAATGGCGGACGCCCCTCCCCCAGCCTGGCTGCTGCCTTGCAGTTAGATTGCAGACTGCTGTGCTCGCAATGAGGGAGGCTCCGTGGGCATGGGACCTCTCGACCAGGAGTGGGATATAGTCTCCTGGTGTGCCCGTTTTCTAAGACCCTTGGTAAAGCGCAGTATTGGGGTGGGAGTTACCCGATTTTCCAGGTGTTGTGTGTCTCAGTTCCCCTGGCTAGGAAAATGGATTCCCTTCCCCCTTGCGCTTCCCAGGTGGGGCGATGCCTTGCCCTGCTTCAGCTCTTGCTGGTCGGGCTGCAGCAGCTGACCAGCACCGATTGTCTGGCAGTCCCTAGTAAGATGAACCCAGTACCTCAGTTGAAAATGCAGAAATCACCTGTCTTCTGTGTTGCTGGCACTGGGAGCTAGAGACTGGAGCTCTTCCAATTCAGCCATCTTGCTCTGCCTCCCCTACTTTTTACTTTTAAATATATCTCTTACAGTGGAGATATTTTATATTATTTCCAGGAAGCCTTATTAACTTTAGTCTTCATAATTATTAAACCTTGCACATATATTTGTTTGTTTCTTTTTTTTTTTTTTTTTTTTTTTTTTGTGAGATGGAGTCTCGCTCTGTCACCCGGGCTGGAGTGCAGTGGCCAGATCTCAGCTCACTGCAAGCTCCGCCTCCCGGGTTCACGCCATTCTCCTGCCTCAGCCTCCCATGTAGCTGGGACTACAGGCGCCCGCCACCTCGCCCGGCTAGTTTTTTTTTTTTGTATTTTTTAGTAGAGACGGGGTTTCACCGTGTTAGCCAGGATGGTCTTGATCTCCTGACCTCATGATCCGCCCGTCTCGGCCTCCCAAAGTGCTGGGATTACAGGCTTGAGCCACCGCGCCCGGCCCATGTTTGTTTGTTTCTAAAACTCAGGAATCCTGTTGACTTGAAGTTTTCAGTTTCTTTCTTCACCTGTGAATACTGAATCCTGCTTGACAGTCATAGATATATATATGAACTATTAAATCTTCAACTCGAATAATTATTGCTTAATTTTCTTTATGTGAGATCTTTTCTCCAATTTTAAACTGTCATCCTATATGGTGTAAATAGGCAATTCGAGTTAGTATTATATTGTTTACAGGAACATAAGAAAAGCATGTGAATTTTAAAGTGGGGTTTCACATTTCTATCTCACTTTATAGTAGTACTTAAAAATGCCTCATAATTCTATAGGTAAGCATTTCTCTTGCACAATTAAAAATTTCAAGGTTTTTATAAAAGTGGTTTTACAGAATCTTGTTGTTGTAGATTTAAATGTTTTCATTCAATTCAAAGATGCCTATTGCAATAATATTTCAGAAATATTTACCTATATCAATAAAATTATATTCTTGGAACAAGTTTGGAAATATATAACTTAGAAACTTAATCCCACGTTTTCTCTCTCCTTTAATTTCATTTTCAAAATTTCAACAGTCTGCATAGATTTGTGTTGCTTTATTCTACCCATTTAGTCTATCTTATAAATATTTATTTTCTTATCACTATGTAATTTTCCTCATGTAGGTCATCTACTCATACTCCAAATGTATTTATCCAGATCTTTCTTCCAAGCCCCTTAGATGCCTCAAATCTTAGAGGTCTCAAACTGAAAGCATCTTTTTTTTAATTCTTTTCCTGCCTCTTTTCTGACTCTTTGTAATCTACTCAGTCATCTGGTTTCCCCATCCTAGTAAATAACATCTAGGAAGTAGCCATGAACTGCTCAAACACTTCAACCTGCATTTCAACTGTCCCCCACATCCTGCACTTCAACCCTCCTCCAGGTCACCAAGCCAGTCACACACCAAAATTTGTATTATCTACCTTCTTATAATTTTTCATATCTTATTACCATAATTAACCATCTACCTATAATTTTGAAGTACTCCTTTCTAGTTTTGCCCCGTCTCCCCATGTTCATCTATCTTTACATCACTGGAAGGGTCACCTTTCTAAAATATATTTGTAATGATATAACTCGTCTGCATATTGAGCGGATACCCATTACCTGAAGGGTTAAGTTCACATTCTAGCGTGACACATATCTTACATGGTTTGGTCCCATTTTTTGTCTCTTCAACTCATTTGGTCTGACTGTGTTCCAGTTTTACCACATCACTTTGGCATCCCTCACTTGCCATGTTGTTTCATGCCTTATTATTTTGCACATGCTGTTGTATTGAGAGTCTTTGTATCCTGACTCTGCACTTTGCCTGTCCTTCCAAATATGGCCCCATTATGGCGGCATTTTCTCTGCTTTTCAGGTAAAACTCATTGTTCTCTCCTTTGTACTCTTATGCATTTTATTGACTTAAATTGTAGAACTGGTGAATTATACTTTTCTGTTCTTTTTTTGTTTTCACATATCTCTACCATTTCTTGAATATAGGCCAGAACCTGTCTTCCATGTATATTTTCTGCTTCTCCCAGGATAGTGCCTATGATTTGATAGATACAGTGTATGTTTTTTCTTGTTGTTCTCTTTTGTCTTACTGATAAATTGTGTGAGTGAATAAACACATTTTTTTCCGGAAGTTTTTTGTTGTTGTTGTTGCTTTTGTTTATTGTTTGTAATAGGAGGAAGCAACAAAGACAGTAACTGGACAACACGAAAATGATATTGACATTATTGAACAAGCTCCAGAAGATCAAACAAGTAATGACAATTTTATTTTTATACCAAAATAATAGAAGTGGTACATTAGTGAATATCTCTGAAAATCTTTCTATGCTTAAGTGCTATTATTTACAAAACAATTTTATAGACCGAAATACAATGGCTATTTAAAAAAATATTTTCTGATATCTTTCTTCATGCTATCAATTCTTTTTACTGAACCTGCTTCAATTCTGAAATTCTATTTTTGCTGTTAGCTTTGTTTTTTAAATACTAATAAATGGCAATAGATTTGTATATGGTATTACAATTTACAGTAATAAATGTTCTCATATATGTGTCTGTGAATAACATTTTGTAGATAAGATACCCACATCAGAATCAAGACAAAAAGAAGATACAGAATCTTCAGATTCTGAGGTATGTGTATTGTTGTTGTTGTTGCAATTTTAAAACTTAAGTAATGAGTAATCTTAAAACATAAAAAGAACATGACACACCAGGGCCTATCATGGGGAGGGGGGAGGGGGGAGGGATTGCACTTGGAGTTATACCTGATGTAAATGACGAGTTGATGGGTGTTGATGAGTTGATGGGTGCAGCACACCAACATGGCACAAGTATACATATGTAACAAACCTGCACGTTATGCACATGTACCCTAGAACTCAAAGTATAATAATAAAAATAAAAAACAAAAAAAACCCATAAAAAGATGATTTGACTTTATACTCTCACCTCTGCATGTGTCCGTAAGGTGGGTGATCATGAGGTCAGGAGATTGAGACCATCCTGGCTAACATGGTGAAACTGTCTCTACTAAAAACATTAAAAAATTAGCCGGGTTTGGTGGTGCGTGCCTGTAGTCTCAGCTACTCGGGAGGCTGAGGCAGGAGAATGGTGTGAACTCAGCAGGTGGAGCTTGAAGTGAGCCAAGATCGCGCCACTGCACTCCAGCCTGGGTGACAGAGTGAGAATCCATCTCAAAGAAAAGCAAAAAAAAAAAAAAAAAAAAAGAGAGAAAGCATTTATTTTCTGACATTTATCAGAACATACTTTATAATCATGTGCCAAGTAGATAATAGCTGCATAGTGCAATTCTGCTAATTTGCAGGATTAATTTTGAAGCCAATGTAGAATAGTGCAAAAGAAAATAAGACTTAGAAGGCACTAGGAATCTATTTGAGTTCTGAAGTTGAGTTTGTCTAAAAACTAAATAATTTCTCTGTTCATTTATGGGCAAATACATAATTCTGTGTATATCTAGATGTACAAAGGCTCTAATTGGATTCAGAGACAAAGAGTTTAAAGTGTAGCCTTAGTCTTGCTCAACTTGGAACTTAAAACGATAATGCCTGGGACTTGAAAGACTCCATCTCAAAAACAAAACAAAACAAAACAAAAAAACCCAAAAACAACAACAAAAAAACACTTATAAGTCATTATAAATTTTTCTTAAAAACAAAATAGAGAATGTTTGGTTAGAGAAAATTGAAAAACTTTATAATTAGCACGGGTATGGGAGTGGCAGTGGAATTCTATGGTCAGAGTAGATCTGTCTGAGACTGCCATTTAATCTCCATCTCAAAGATGAAGAGTAGGCCATATGAAAGTTTAGGAGCAAAACATTCGGAACAGAGAGAACAGTGGAACATATTTGTTCATCATTTTGTTCTTAACAACCTAGAACGACTAGGAAGTAGAAAGTGGGGTAACCACCACCATCGTCATCATCCTCATTATTCTAAAGTGAAGAAAAATCTGCAAATACGTGTCTGGCACATGTTAGAGGTTTCATGAATACATGCTTTTATTTTTCTCTTTTTATGAAGGCTTGCTCTACTTTTTTGAAGTTATGTCTTAAGAATGAATTGCACACTTTATCTAATGATTGTTTGCTTTCATTTAAAAATAGCAAAAATATGTTTTCCTTATGAATCTTTTATTCACGCAGTTCTTTATCAGCAAAAAACTTGTAAAATTTATTCTTATTATCTTAAGTCTTTGTTTTCCTAAGTGAAACAGCTTTTACAGAATTCTATTCCTACTCTGCATGACATACTCTGAAAATTCTCTTCATGCCGTGCATAATTTTTAACAAAAAATCTGTAATTATGCATATGTCAAATGTGTAATTGTGTTGTATTTTGTTTGAAATGCCCTGTTATTTTTTGCAAGGACTACAGTGTAAGGCAGATACTTTGAATTTAATTCCTTTTGAAATATGCACACGATTGAATTTTTTTGGGAATATGATTTATTTTCTTTGCTCAGTAACCCAGTCAGTAGTCACATGAAGATAAAAGATAAGCATGATATACAGAGCGTATTTGAGGTTTTCTCTTGAATGTTTGGTTTTCAATATGTGAACAGCCTTAAATCTAATTACCTTTAGAGTAAAAAATTTTGTTTTAAAAAAGATTTTAAATGAAAAATATGATGCTTGTTATTATTATTTTTAAATTGAAATTATTTATTGAGGCAGGCTATGGTGTCTCACACCTGTAATCCCAGTATTTTGGTAGGGCAAGGTGGGTGGATCACTTAAAGTCAGGTGTTTGAGACCAGCCTAGCCAACATGGTGAAATCCTGTCTCTATTAAAAATACAAAAATTTAGCCAGGTGTGGTGGCTAATGCCTGTCATCCCAGCTATTCGTGACGGTGAGGCAGAAGAATCACTTGGTCTTGGGAGCCGGAAGTTGCAGTGAGCCTAGATCATACCACTGGGCAACCCTGTGAGGCTTTGTCTCAGAAAAAACAAAACAAAAAAATAGTAAAAAAAAGAAATTATTTATTAATATTATCTTTAACAGATTATCTCTGTGAGTGATACACAGAATTATGTGTGTTTAACTGAGGCTACATATCAAAAAGAAATAAAGACAATAAATGGCAAAATAGAAGGTAAGAACCATTTTTTATTTAAAACATCATTTGACCAATTATTTGTCTAAAAGCATGAGGACTGATATACTCTGACAGCCAAAGAAAATTATTTTTTAAATGTGTAGCATGGAAGGACAAAAGGAGTGAAAGTTACATGTCTTCTCAGGTGTTGGCAACAGATTATATTGAGAGTGCCAAAAAAAGAGCTGAATTATTAGTTTAAATTCAATATACCTGAAGAAAGGAGTAAAAGAGGGAATGAAGACCAAGGAAGACAGGGAGTACATGAGGGAACAAGAAGCAGGTTTATATAATGGAGAATGGTAAAATAAAATAATTATTTACAGAAAGATAGAGCATGATTAGAAAGCTGGGAAGAATAAAAAGTGACCTTCCATTACCAAAAGTTGCCAGGGAATTACAGCAAACATGTCACTCCTGTCTTTCTCACTGGTGGGAAGGCATTAGGGATGGAAGCAACTGACCATAGAGAGTTGTGTTTTATCTGCAATAGGTGAATATAAGCATATTGGCACAGCCATGCGTGTATATAATTTGTCATATACACTCAGTATACACCAGAAGTTTTCACACTTTATAAAATCAGCTGAATACCTTTTTAACAGTGCACATTGTAATTCAGCAGACTTGGGATTCTGGCATTTTAAATAAGTTCTCAGGTGATGCCGTTGCTGGTGGTCCTTGGACCTCACTCTTAAGTAGCAAGAGAATAGCCTTTCCTTTGGAAAAATCTGGAAGAAGGGCAATTGGATAGAAGATCAAGACATAACAGGGTCAAGGGATAGCATTATATTGCTTTTATTTCTGCATCTGTTTCTGGTCAGAGGGGAAAAAGAGGTAAAGAAATAATAATTACAGGTGTCAGATACTATTCCTAATCAAAGAGAAAGAAAGTGTTGGGAAAATTGATTTTAAAAGTGTTGGGAAAAATGAAGACCACAGATGTGGACATTATTTTGGCTAAGGAAGAGGGATTGTGAGGCAGGAAATGGGGCAAGAAAGAAGATAGCCAGGCAACTTTGGAGTTTCTGAATAGGAAATTTGAGTGAATTCACTTCAGATGCATTTACAATATTTGCACTCCAGAAGATTAGATTTTGGGTACTCCAGAGACTACCGGAAGCGGAGGATTACTAGAATTGGAGTAAACTATGGTGACTTTTTAGTTTTCTCTATTACTATCAGCATAAAAGGTATATATTTTGTTGATATTAGCTATTCAAATGAGAAATATTTGAATCTAAGAGCATTAGCTTTATTTTTAATGAAGCAAATTGTTTTGGTAACATTGTTGTTCTATAAAAATCCATTAGACACTTAATAAAGCAGACTATTTTTTAGAAACAAAAAAATACTGAATTTACTACCTGAATTCTAAAATTTTTTTTAAATAAGTATTTTCCTGATTTAAAAATATAAAATATTATTTGTATATAATAAGTATGTTGCCATAAATTTTCAAATAAACGTGCCAATATTGAAAGCTCATTACACAAACTTTTAAATGAATTTTGTATATATTTTTTACATGAGTGAATCAAGAAAATTTCTGAGGATAAACTAGAGGATACAGAAATGTAGGCATATGATTACACCACATGGATATGGAAAACAATGAATATTTTATTCAGTATTATCCCCTAAGTAAATATCCAAGCTGATCAATTTGTAACACGTTCAGTGATGAGATGTCAGTTCTGCATTCAGCTGAACTCTCATCATAACGGTGTACCGTCTCAATTGTAGGACAAATTAAAGAACATGATGAATGTAATGATATAAATTATTCTAATGTATTTCATTAAACATATGGTGTAGGATTCTATGTTCAGCTTTGACATTTATTTTTTCAGGGTCATGATTTGCTCCTCTGATCAAAGATCATTTATGCTTTCATCACTCAGCATATACATATTAATATCAACACATTTTGCATGCAAAACACATTCTCACTTTTGAAATCTTAAGTGCATGTTTGATGAACTATAGATTCCTAGTTTCTTCAGTGTATTTCTGTCATGTGAGTGTCCTAAAGAAACAAACAAAAGAAAATCTCCTAAACCTAAAGGAATCATTCTCAAAGCTGAGCAAGAGGACTCAGTTAGATACTATCACTGGGTTCATTTGTGGTTGGTTTTGTTATATTTACCTATGACTGATAACAAATCTCTTTTGCTTTAGAGTCTACTGAAAAGCCTTCTGACTTTGAGGTATTGAGTTTTATAATTTTATCTTGAATTATTTATTAACTATGTATTTTATGAAGTATACATTCGTTATTAATCATTTTTCTTCTAAACCCATTTAGCCTGCTGTTGAAATGCAAAACTCTGTTCCAAATAAAGCTTTAGAATGGAGAAATAAACAAACATTGAGAGCAGGTAATTTTACAGTTCAACTATATTAAAAGGAATATTTCAATAGTTGACATATTAATAGTCTCATCTCCCCAATGTTTATTTTTCAAATATTATGGAAATATTTGAGTTAATAATGTCCATAGTGGTATCCACGTTTGAAAAACTGATTATTTACAAGAACATGAATTTTAATTAGTTTTTTTTTTAAATTAGCTTTAATTTCAGGTGTTTCTATTTTTATGTTCTGATACTGTAATGTTTTGTATTGGGAATGTCTGTATGACTTAAAGATTCAAGAAGACGAATTTTTAAACTCTAATATTTTTCCTGTTCAAAACTTGATTCAAATTCTACCCTTTACTGAAGAGAAAGCTTCACTTTTTGACATGCCAATTGTGTTTTAACATTGGTTACCTCATGTGGATGTAGTCATTTGAAGCATCCTAAGGAAATCAGTTATTCTGATTTAGCTTACTCTGTGCATGTGTATGTGTGTGTGTGTGTGTGGTGTGCATGTTTGTGCCTGTGTGCATGTGTATGTGTGTTTGTGTGTGGTATCCCTAGTTTTTAAAAATGGGAGAAGTAATCATTTCTTTATAATTATATTTGTAAAACTGTGATTCTGAAGCATTTGGCTTTAGTGTCTTTTCATTGTTTAGAGGTAAACAATTGTCTAAACTAGTTTTTAAAAAATTATTCCTATACATGCTTAAACATTATACAACATATGTACACAGTCATAGATAATACGTAGAATTTGTTTTTAACTTCTAATATGTAAATAATTGTACATTGTGTGTAATTTTCTGTAACATTCTTTATTTTATCAGCATTATATTGTAAGATCCATCCATAATAGACGGAACTAGCTCTGGTTTTGTTTTTATTGCATTCTTTATATAAATTCCGTTATATAACTGCACCAGAACTAAAGTTTGTTTACGCAAAAAATAAAAGCAAATGCAAATTTCAGTCTTATTTAAGTTGGTTTTATCTACTGATTTTTGATATATTAGAAATTAAAATTAAAGAATTTCAAGTATAACCATGCACAATCATCTATTTTAATAAAAATGAAAAGTGTGACCTATGAACCATTACAGCTATGCTGTTGTAACACATTATTTCCCGAAACAGTGCAGTATACACTTCTAAAATGAGATTGAAATAGTCGATAACGGCGGGCGCGGTGGCTCAAGCCTGTAATCCCGCACTTTGGGGCCGAGGTGGCGGATCACAAGTCAGGAGATCGAGACCGCAGTGAAACCCCGTCTCTACTAAAAAAATACAAAAAATTAGCCGGGCCGGTGCGGCGCCTATAGTCCCAGCTACTCAGGAGCTGAGGCAGGAGAATGCGGAACCGGGAGCGGAGCTTGCAGTGAGCCGAGATCGCGCCACTGCACTCCAGCCTGGCAACAGCGTGAGACTCCGTCTCAAAAAAAAAAAAAAAAAAAAAAGAAAATAGTCGATAACAAAAGTATGATTTGAGTTTTGGATTCTCTATGTGAAATTTGAACTTTAGGGATGCTCATCTCACAACTTAAAAGCACATTTGAAAACCAAATATATAGTTCATGCATGTCAAATTATAAATGTACCCTTAATATTAAAATGATATTTAAAGCTTCAGTTGTGCGTGTTTGCTTTTCTCTTTGAACTATGTTAAAGAGTTAATATTTGAAAAATTTGTTTACAAAGAAAACGGAACATTATTTCTGTTTTTGTTTGTTTTCTGTCTTATGGCTCCGTGATTTTCATATTCTATTATATGACTGTACCACAATTAATTAAACGGTTTTATGCTGATAAAATACATAAAAATAAAAACAAATTCAGATTTTGATAAGCCTTTTAAGTTGGCTTTATATTTTATTTTTAATATATTAAAAATTAAAAGTATAGTATTTAAGATATAAGCATGCATAATCATATATATTCCGATGGCAATTAGAACTATGAGTTAAAAATTATTAGAGCTATGGTGTTACAACACAGTTTGTCTCTGAAACATTCCAGTATACACTTCTAAATAAACGCAAATGATCATGGTCAACAGCAAAAGTATGATTTGACCTCTTGGATTCCCTGGAGGAAACTTGAACTCCAGGGATATTCTGATCAGAATTTAAGACCAGTTTTAAAAATCAGACTTTTAGTTCATGAATGTCAAATAATCAGTTGACCCGTAATGATGAAATCATCCTTAAAGTTTTTGTTAGGCATGTTTGCTTTTTTCTTCAACCTGTCTTAAATAGTTCAAATTTGAAAATTTTGTTTATAAAGAAAACTGGATATATATGTGTGTGTGGTGTGTGTGTATTCTGTCTCATGACTCTCAGTACTCCTTGGATCTTGTGTAGATCGTGATTTAATTCTATTAAATGTGGAAACAGTAGTTTACTAATGTGTAGACATTGATTTAATTCTTTTTTAGGGAAAAATTAGGTTACTTAAAGCAATTATTTTTATATAGATTTCTAATGATTCTCTAAGGCATCACAAGTTGATTCTGAAGATATTGAATTAAGGAAAGACTGTCTCAAAATAACTAAAGGAGTTTCAAAATTTAATGTATATGCAATAAAAGCTTTTTAAGCTTATTTATTTATTACACATACACAAAATATACTGTCATACATGTTGAAACTTAAAATTGTTAGACATAAAGTTTGTTAACATAAAAAAATTTATATTTCTCAAGAGTCTTATTTATTGATAATTTCATTTGAATAACAGATTGCTGAGTCAATCAAACTAAGTAATGCTAAAAATAGAAAAAAAGATAACATATAATTAAAGTTATCTCATTAAATTTCAAGCATAGGACATACTGTGTTTCTGGGAAGAAGAACACATTACTGCCTTTTTGAAGAAATAATTTATACAAGTTAGCCAAATTTCTATTTTTTTCTATTCTAATGAATACAATATTTTAGTTTGCAATTCTGTTAGGTTGACCATAAAAGTTGTGGGAATAATCTGAAAAAAGTATGTACATGTTGAATAAGAAACACCACAGATTCACGAAAAAAATAGATTTGTATACTCTTTTAAAATATATCATAGTAAATATTCTCATTAATATATCTGTGATTAATATTTGATAGATAATATGTTGACATTAAAATCAGGAAAAGAAACATATGCAGAATCACGTTGGAGTTCTAAGGTATTGTGTAATTTTGTTTTTATTATTATTTAAATATAAATATTGAGTGATGTTGAAACTTGAAAGTAGAGACTTTGACTTTATTGTTTTACCTCTGCATATTGCCCTTCAGTAATTTCTGATATTTTTCAGAAAATACTAAGCAGTTATTATTTGCTAAGTAGATTACTGCTTCATAGTGCAATTTCACGTATTTTCAGGATTAAGTTTAAGAAGGTAGTGTAGTATAGTGTGAAAATACATCTTAGAATTCTAGGAATTTATTTGGGTTCTGAATCTACAGTTGTCTAAAAACTGAAGAATTTCAGTTCAGGGGTCCACCTGTGAGCAAATTTATGATTCTCTGGTATATCTGGATTCAGAGGAAAAAGGTAAAATAGTTTTGTGTATCTTGGAACTTGAAAGGATAATGCCTGGTGCTTGAAAGTATTGCTATATTTGGATTGCACAGTGCAGATCTTAAGGAATATTTTGGGCAAAGGAAAAGCAAGAAAAATAGGAAACCTGAGAAACTACAGTAAAAACAATTTGGTTGAGTAGTGTTTTAAAGAGTGAACATTATTTTCACAAATAGAACTATTTGAGTTATTTTGTGGCAGCCATGCTTTCAACCACATAAATATCTGTATTCTGAGATCACAGCTGTGCAAAGAGCTGGAAAGGGCCCCACTAGTTGTTAGAAGTAGCTGCTTTATAGCAGTAACAATCATGAGTAGAAGTCAAAAAACCAGTCAGTATTCTGGTTCTGTTACTTACTAGTTATGTAACCTTGGAGAAAATTATTTAATGTATTCAAATGTCAGTGGCCTTGTTCATTGAATTAGTGCTAATATCTACCTCTTAGATATGTTTAATTGAGCAATGTTGTAATAAAAGTGAAAATATTTTGCAAACTGAAAAATGTGTATACAAATGTAAGATAATGATGACAGTGGTATTCAGTGGCTTAATAAATATCAAGGGTACTTTTTCTAAACATGAAGGCAGTATTGTCAGAAAAATAATGGGGGAATACAACAGACATGTGGATTTCTAGTTTAGTGTATGGGTATGTTAAGTATCAGCAGGCTACTAATACTATTTTCTAAACTTGCGAAGAATTTAGCAAATTAGACCTCTCTGATGAGATTTTAAATGCTTTGACTATTAATAATGTGCTTCCTAAATAGCATAAGTGTGCTAAGCAGTGAGACCTGAATACACAGGATGAGGACTTATGTTAAAGTGGTAGGAATAGAAAAGCAAGTTAACAACACTTATAAGTAAATATAAGTGATCTCTATATAAAGACAGATAGTGTTAGGTTAGATAAAATTGAAGAAGTTTACACTTAGAATGGGAATGGGAGTGGCAGTCAAATTCTGTAGTCAGAGATTTCTTTGAGACTGTCAGTCAAGCTCCCATAACAAGCATGAGAGGTAGGATGACATGTATATACCCAAAGGATTATAAATCATGCTGCTATAAAGACACATGAACACGTATGTTTATTGCGGCACTATTCACAATAGCAAAGACTTGGAATCAACCCAAATGTCCATCAGTGACAGACTGGATTAAGAAAATGTGGCACATATACACCATGGAATACTATGCAGCCATATAAAAGGATGAGTTCATGTCCTTTGTAGGGACATGGATGCAGCTGGAAACCATCATTCTCAGCAAACAATTGCAAGAACAGAAAACCAAACACCTCATGTTCTCACTCATAGGTGGGAATTGAACAATCAGATTACTTGGACTCTGGAAGGGGAACATCACACACTGGGGCCTATTATGGGTAGGGGGTAGGGAATGGGGGGAGGGATGGCATTGGGAGTTGTACCTGATGTAAATGACGAGTTGATGGGTGCTGACGAGTTGATGGGTACAGCACACCAACATGGCACAAGTATACATATGTAACAAACCTGCACATTGTGCACATGTACCCTAGAACTTAAAGTATAATAAAAAAAGAAAAAAAAAAAAGGAGAAATCTCCAAAAAAAAACAAACCAAAACAAAACAAAAAACAACAAAAAAAAGAATGTCTAGGTGAAAGACATTTGGAGCAGAAAAAAAGCAGATCACATTTCTTTACAATTTTTCTCTTAACATTCTGGAAAGACTAGGAAGCGGAAAGTGGGGTAAACATTATCATCATCATTTTCATTATTGTAAGGTGTAAAAAAGTTTGCAAATGTGTTCCTGGCACATAATAAATGCTTTATGAATAAATGTTCTTATGTTTTTATGAAGGACTTGCTATAGTTTTCTGAAATTATGTTTTAATTGAGATTGAGTTGCATATTTTATATGATATTGGTTTCTTTTCATTTAAACTTAATAGAATGTTTTTCTTCTTTTAAATTTATTCATGCATTTCTTCTGTTATCAAAAAATTTCTCAAAAATTTTTGATTATTTCAAATTCTTGTCTACCTAAATAAAGAAGCTTTTACAATATTCTATCTCATACTCTGAAGGTTTTCTTTCCTTAAAGTGTCTTATTTTAACCCTAAAAATTTATAATTATGAATATTTTAAATGTTTAATGTTGTCAATGTTATATAGCAAGAAGCAGGTGATTGTCTTTTGTTTTAAATGCCCTCTCTTTTTTCTTGAGGACTACAAAGTAGAGTTAGATATTTTGAATGTAATTTCTTGTTGAAATATGCACACGAGTAAATACTTTTTCTGTGGATATGTTTTTATTTTTGGGTTTTCATGCTTAGTAACTGTTTCAATAGCTAAATGAAAATGAAAATAAGCTTGATTTGGAGAGCATATGTGAAGTCCTTTATATAAATGTTTTGGTTTTCAATAGGTTTCTATTCTTAAACCAAATTGCCTTTAAAGTAGGAAACTGAGTATGTTTTGAAATATGTTAGGAAATCTTGATGTCACTCATTATTATTATTATTATTATTTTAAAATTGCAATTCATTATTGATAGAACTTCAAACAGAGTGTTTCGGAAAGTGCTGCACAGAATTACACGTGTTTACCTGAGGCTACATATCAAGAAGAAGTCAAGAATATAAATGGAAAACTAAAGGGTAAGAATCACTTTTTATTTAGAAGTCATTTGACAGTATGTTTATCTAAAAATTTGAGGACTGTTATACTGTAATAGCCTCAGAACATTACGCACTAAATGCGTAGTATAAAAAAAGCGAATTAAAATGGTAATAAGTTACATATCTTGTCAGGTGTCAGCAACAGAGTATATAGTGAGTGCCGAAAAAGGAACTGAATTATTACTTTACATTCCAGATATTCTAAAACCTGAGATATCTCAGGAAATAAGAGGAAAGATGTAAAAGAGGGAATAAAGAATGAGGAAGACAGAAAGTACAGGGAGGAAATGAGGGAAAAAGAAGCAGGTGTATACAATGGAGGTTCATAAGATAAAATAACTCTTTAGATAGAGGAAGAGTATGGTTAGAAAGGTGGGAAGAATATATAGTAAGCTTTCAGTACAAAACTAGTAAAAGAATTACAGCAAAAATGTTCCACCCAAGCTAAAAACCATGGCACAAGAAGTACGTGATACATGCACAAGCTTCAGTAGCTGATTCGATCAAGTGGAAGAAAGGGTATCCGTGATTGAAGATCAAATGAATGAAATGAAGTGAGAAGAGAAGTTTAAAGAAAAAAGAGTAAAAAGAAACAAACAAAGCCTCAAGAAATATGGGACTATGTGAAAAGACCAAATCAACGTTTGATTGGTGTACCTGAAATTGACAGGGAGAATGGAACCAAGTTGGAAAACACTCTGCAGGATATTATCGAGGAGAACTTCCCCAACCTAGAAAGACAGGCCAACATTCAAATTCAGGAAATACAGAGAACACCACAAAGATACTCCTCGAGAAGAGCAACCCCAAGACACATAATTGTCAGATCCACCAAGATTGCAAAGAAGGAAAAAATGTTAAAGGTAGCTAGAGAGAAAGGTCGGGTTACCCACAAAGGGAAGCCCATTAGACTAACAGCAGAGCTCTCAGAAGAAACTCTACAAGCCAGAAGAGAGTGGGGGCCAATATTCAACATTCTTAAAGAAAAGAATTTTCAACCCGAAATTTCATATCCAGCTAAACTAAGCTTCATAAGTGAAGGAGAAATAAAATCCTTTACAAACAAACAAATGCTGAGAGGTTTTGTCACCACCAGTCCTGCCTTACAAGAGCTCCTGAAGGACACACTAAACATGGAAATGAAAAACAGGTACCAGCCACTGCAAAAACATGCCAAATTACAAAGACCCTCGATGCTAGGAAGAAACTGCATCAACTAACAAGCAAAATAACCAGCTAACATCATAATGACAGGATCAAATTCACACATAACAATATTAACCTTAAATGTAAATGGACTAAATGCTCCAATTAAAAGACACAGACTGGCAAATTGATAAAGAGTCAAGACCCATCAGTGTGATGTATTCAGGAGACACATCTCATGTGCAGAGATACACATAGGCTCAAAATAAAGGGATGCAGAAAGATCTACCAAGCAAATGGAAAACAAAAAGAAAGCAGGGATTGCAATCCTAGTCTCTGACACAACAGACTTTAAACCAACAAAGATCAAAAGAGAAAAAGAAGGCCATTACATAATGGTAAAGGGATCAATTCAACAAGAAGACCTAACTATCCTAAATATATATGCACCCAATACAGGAGCACCCAGATTCATAAGGCAAGTCAATAGAGACCTACAAAGAGACTTAGACTCCCACAAAATAATGATGGGAGACTTTAACACCCCGGTGTCAATATTAGACAGATCAACGAGACAGAAGGTTAAAAAGGATATCCAGGACTTGAACTCGGCTCTGCACCAAGCAGACCCAATAGACATCTACAGAACTCTCCACCCCAAATCAGCAGAATATACATTCTTCTCAGTACCACATCACACTTATTCCAAAATTGACCATATAGTTGGAAGTAAAGCACTCCTCAGCAAATATAAAAGAACAGAAATCACAACAAACTGTCTCTCAGATCACAGTGCAATCAAATTAGAACTCAGGATTAAGAAACTCACTCAAAATCACACAACTACGTGGAAACTGAACAACCTGCCCCTGAGTGACTACTGGGTACATAACAAAATGTAGGCAGAAATAAAAATGTTGTTTGAAACCAATGAGAACAAAGACACAACATATCAGAATCTCTGGGCCACATTTAAGCAATGTGTAGAGGGAAATTTATAGCACTAAATGCCCATAAGAGAAAGCAGGAAAGACCTAAAATTGACACCCTAACATCACAATTTAATGAACTAGAGAAGCAAGAGCAAACAAATTCAAAAGGTAGCAGAAGGTAAGAAATAACTAAGAACAGAGTAGAACTGAAGGAGATAGAGATACAAAAAACCCTTCAAAAATCAATGAATCCAGGAGCTAGTTTTTTGAAAAGATCAACAAAATAGATGGCTAGCAAGACTAATAAAGAAGAAAAGAGAGAAGAATCAAATAGACACAATAAAAAATGATAAAGGGGATATCACCACCGATCCCACAGAAATACAAACTACTATCACACAACACTATAAACACCTCTACACAAATAAACTAGAAAATCTAGAAGAAATGGATAAATTCCTGGACACACACACCCTCCCTAGACTAAACCAGGAAGAAGTTGAATCCCTGAATAGACCAATAACAGGCTCTGAAATTGAGGCAATAATTAATAGCCTACCAACCAAAAAAAAGTCCAGGACCAGACGGATTCACAGCCGAATTCTACCAGAGGTACAAAGAAGAGCTGGAACCATTCCTTCTGAAACTCTTCCAATCATAGAAAAAGAGAGAATCCTCCCTTACTCATTTTATGAAGCCAGTATCATCCTGATACCAAAGTCTGGCAGAGAGACAACAAAAAAGAGAATTTTAGACCAATATCCCTGATGAACATCAATGCAAAAATCCTCAATCAAATACTGGCAAACTGAATCCAGCAGCATATCAAAAAGCTTATCCACCATGATCAAGTTGGCTTCATCCCTGAGATGCAAGGCTGTTTCAATAAACATAATGCATAAACATAATGCATCACATAAACAGAACCAAAGACAAAAACCACATGATTATATCAATAGATGCAGAAAAGGCCTTTGACAAAATTCAACAGCACTTCATGCTAAAATCTCTCAATAAATAAACTAGGTACTGATGGGACGTATCTCAAAATAGTAAGAGCTATTTATGACAAACTCATAGCCAATATCATACTGAATGGGCAAAAACTTGAAGCTTTCCCTTTGAAAACTGGCACAAAACAGAGATGCCCTCTCTCACCACTCCAATTCAACATAGTGTTAGAAGTTCTGGCCAGGGCAATCAGACGGGAGAAAGAAACTAAGGGTATTCAATTAGAAAAAGAGGAAGTCAGATTGTCCCTGTTTGCAGATGACATGATTGTGTATTTAGAAAACTCTATCATCTCAGCCCCAAATCTCCTTAAGCTGATATAAGCAACTTCAGCAAAGTCTTAGGACATACAATTAATGTGCAAAAATCACAAGAATTCCTATACACCGATAACAGACAAACAGAGAGCCAAATCATGAGTGAACTCCCATTCACAATTGCTTCAAAGAGAATAAAATGCCTAGGAATCCAACTTACAAGGGATGTGAAGGACCTCTTCAAGGAGAACTACAAACCACTGCTCAACAGAAAAAAGGGGACACAAACAAATGGAACAACATTCCATGCTCATGGATAGGAAGAATCAATATCATGAAAATGACCATACTGCCCAAGGAAAATTTTAGATTCTATGCCATCCCCATCAAGCTACCAATGACTTTCTTCACAGAATTGGAAAAAACTACTTTAAAGTTCATATGGAACCAAAAAAGAGCCCTCATTGCCAAGACAATCCTAAGCCAAAAGAACAAAGCTGGAGGCATCACACTACCTGACTTCAAACTATACTTCAAGGCTATAGTAACCAAAACAGCATGGTCTTGGTACCAAAACAGAGATATAGACCAAGGGAAAGGAACAGAGCTCTCAGAAATAACACCACAAATCTACAACCATCTGATTTTTGATGAACCAGACAAAAACAAGAAATGGGGAAGGATTCCCTGTTTAATAAATTGTTCTGGGAAAACTGGCTAGCTATATGTAGAAAGCTGAAACTGCATCCCTTCCTTACACTTTATACAAAAGTTATTTTGAGATGGATTAAAGACTTAAATGTTAGACCTAAAACTATAAAAACTCCAGAAGAAAACCTAGGCAATACCATTCAGGACAGAGGCATGGGCAAAGACTTCATGACTAAAACACCAAAAGCAATGGCAACAAAAGCCAAAATGGACAAATGTGATCTAATTAAAGAGCTTCTGCACAGCAAAAGAAGCTTCCATCAGAGTGAACAGGAAACCTACAGAATGGGAGAAAATTTTTGCAATCTACCCATCTGACAAAGGGCTACTATCTGGAATCTACAAATAACTTTAACAAGTTTACAAGAAAAAATCAGACAACCCCATCAAAAAGTGGACAAAAGATATGAACAGACAGTTCTCAAAAGAAGACATTTATGTAGCCAACAGACACATGAAAAAATGCTCATCATCACTGGCCATCAGAGAAATGCAAATCAAAATCACAGTGAGATTCCTTCTCATACCAGTTAGAATGGTAATCATTAAAAAGTCAGGAAACAACAGGTGCTGGAGAGGATATGGAGAAACGAACACTTTTACACTGTTGGTGGGAGTGTCAATTAGTTCAACCATTGTGGAAAACAGTGTGGTGATTTCTCAAGGATCTAGGACTAGAAATACCATTTGACCCAGCAATCCCATTACTGGTTATATAGCCAAAGGATTATAAATCATACTACTATAAAGACACATGCACATGTATGTTTATTGGGGCACTATTCACAATAGCAAAGACTTGGAACCAACCCAAATGTCCATCAATGATAGACTGAATTAAGAAAATGTGGCACATATACATCATAGAATACTATGCAACCATATAAAAAGGATGAGTTCATGTCCTTTGTAGGGACATGGATGAAGCTGGAAACCATCATTATGAGCAAACTATCACAAGGACAGAAAACCAAACACTGCATGTTCTCACCCATAAGTGGGAATTGAAATATAAGAACACTTGGATACAGGGTGGGGAACATCACACAACAGGGCCTGTCATGGGGTGGAGGGAGCGGGGAGGGATAGCATTAATAAAAATACATAATGTAAATGATGAGTTAATGGGTGCACCACACCAACATGGCACATGTATACATATGTAACACATCTGCATGTTGTGCACATGTACCCTAGAACTTAAAGTATAATAATAAAAAAATTTCCATCTTTACTTACTCGCTTGTGGAAGACATTAAGGATGGAATTACCTAACTGTGCGAAGCTATGTTTCATCTATTATTGGTGAATATAAGCATATATGGGCAGCCACACATGTATATATTTTTTCAGTATGGTCCAGAAGTTTTCATACTTTAATAAATGAGCTACAGATCTTGTTAACAATGCACATTCTGATTCAATAGACTTGAGGTTGTGCAATTTTAATAAATTCTCAGGTGATGCTGATGCTGGTGGTTCTTGGACCATGCACTGAGTAGCAAAGGTATAGAGTTTTCATTGAAGTAATTTGGAAGAAGAGCAATTGGATAGAATGTCAAGACATAACAGAGTCAAGAGCAAGCATTATTTTGATTTTGTTTCTCAGTATGTTTTTAGTCAGAAGCGAAGAAAGAGGTTAAAAAACAACAACAGAATTTATAGATGCCCAATATTACTTCCGAACAAGAGAAAGAAAGTGGTAGGAAAATTTATTTTTAAAAGTGTTGAAGGGAAAGAATCAAAACTACAGATCTGGAGATTATTTTTGCTAAAGAATAGCAATTGTGAGGCATGAAGGGGGAGGGGAGGAGAAGCTAAGTAGGTAATTTTGAAGTTTCTGAGAAGGAAACTTGAGTGAACTCATTTCAGATGCATTTGGAATGTCTGCACTCCAGAAGGTTAGATTATGTGTGCTCTGGACAGTATTGGAAGAAGCAGGGATTACTAGATTTGGCGTCTACCACAGTGACTCATTACTCTTTTCTATTATTTCAGGATTCATAGAGACATGTTTTGTTGATATTATTTATTTAAGTGAGATAAATTTGAATATGAATCCATTGACTTTTTTAGTAAAATTGCTGCTCCATAATAATCTGTTAGATGACTGGGCCCGGTGGCTCATGCCTGTAATCCCAGCACTTTGGGAAGCTGAGGTGGGCCGATCACTTGGGGTCAGCAGTTCGAGACCAGCCTGGCCAACATGGTGAAACCCCGTCTCTACTAAAAATACAAAAAAAAAAAAAAAAAAAAAAAAAAAAAAAAATTAGCTGGGTGTGGTAGCACACGCCTGTAATCCCAGCTACTAAAGAAGCTAAGGCAGGAGAATCGCTTGAACCCAGGGGGCGGAGGTTGCAGTGAACCGAGGTCACTCCACTGCATTCCACTCTGGGTGACAGAGTGAGACTCCATCTCAAAAAAATAAAAATAAAAAAATAAAAATTTGTTGGAGACTAACATGGTAAATCAGTCTAATTTTAGAAACAAAAACTAAATTTATTACTTGAATACTAAAACTGATTTTTAAATAAATATTATTCTGATTTCAAAATAAAAATGGTTATAACTAATTAATATTTAGCAATCAAGTTTTTGAATAAATATTTCAATACTGAAAGTTTTTTATACATTATTTTCTTTATGAGTTTTATATGCCGTCTTATATGAAGGGATGAAAAAACATTCAGATGGATAAGTGACAGGTTGCAAAAATGTAGGCATAAAATTACACCACATGTGTATGGAAAAAAATGAATATTTTTATTTACTATTATTCCCTAATATACATCCATGCTCATGAACTCATTACACTTTCGTTAATGAGACATCAATTTTACATTCAGCTAAACTCTTATTGTAACTGTGTACCTTCTCAATTATAAGATAAATTAAAGAGTATGATGAATGTTTATAATTTAATGATATAAGTGATTCTGAAGTGTATCTTGTAGTTCAGAAGCTCTCATAATTTATAACCAGTATATGTTAGCCATGTGTGAGATTCATAGATGCCATGTGATAAATGAGCTCTAGATGATGAAATGGTTTGTAAAATTTTCCTTGTGTGTTTTTTGCTTTTTTTTCTTTTTCACATAAAAATTTTAAACTCAATGTTTTTGTTTATAAAGAAAATAGTTACAAATTTACTTTTTGTCACCTGGGACTGCACATTTTTGATATAGTTTGAACCTAGACTTTTTTTAAACTTGTGAAAAATTAGGTCACTTATGACTATTATTTTTATATAAATTTCTGATATATTTATCCAAAATTTCCCAAGTACTTTCTTAATACATTTCTTAACATTGGCGCATTAGAAAGAGACTATATCATTATAATTTTTTTAAAAATATATTCAATAAAATGTTTTAAAGTCCGTGTCTGTATCATTCATTGACACAATAGTTTCATTAATCTTTAAACTTTAAATGACTAGACATAAATTTCATTGATATAAAAGTATACATATCTTTGAAGAATCTTATTGATGAATAATTTATCCTGGAAAATGAACTAGTCATAAAGCTTGCTGAGTCAATCAAAGAAAGTAACAGTAAAATATTAATTCCTGAAAGAAAATGAGGGTTGATATTTAACAAAATTTATCTGGGTAAATGGCAACTATCAGACATAGTGTGCTTTTTGCGGGGAGAGGAATACAGGAGACTGCTTTTTTGAAGAAAAAAAATCATACAAGCTTTTTATAAGTCTTACGTCAGGGTTTTGATAAGGAAGCAGAGCCATTCATGACCACTCAGGACATAGAACTGATGCTGCGTTTTCTCTTTCCTCTGGGAGCCTCTTTGCAATTCACTAAGAGCTTTTCCTGAGACCCTTGTCTTGACTGGTGCTTGTGCTCCTCATTAGGGTATCCAAACTTCAGGCTAGTTTTGTCAGTCCAGTCCAGCTTGTCAGTGTACTTTTGTTCAGCTTCATCTTTCTTTCTGGAGCTGAGTACAGAATTCAGGGCACTGGGCATTACACAGACCTGTCGATAACCTGAGGGAACAAAGAGTTCTTACCAGTAAGACAATGACAAAGCATATTCTTACCCGCTTCTGCCACAGTATATTCTAACCTGCGGTCACCATTTGTTGGCTGGGAGGTTGCACTGCACACCCCATTACAAAATTTGCTGACTCAAGTGCGGATAGGAAAATGATATAGGCTTCTTGAGACCTCCACTTTCTCATTTCTGCAGCAAATCAAGGGCTTTCTCACATGCCCAGTATGCTGCCATGAGAACTAGCATTTGGGAAAACCACCATACTAAGTTTACATATAACCAAAAGAATCATACAGAGGCTGACTCCCCTGGCAGCACCCAGAAACAAATTGCATTCCTCAGTATATGTTAAAGTCACACCCTCCAGGGTGACAACATGTCTCAAGCAAGTGAAAGTAAACTTAAATAGAAGAAGTGGCTCTGTTTTCAGATTAGAAAGATGAGCCAAAAGTTCGGAAAGCTGAAAAAACACAGGGTATCAACACACAACTTTGCTCCTCAACCCTTTGGCAACCGGTAATCTTTTTACTCTATCCATAATTTTGGTTTCTGGATAATGTTATTTTTGGAAATATGCATTTAAGTCTTTTCATACTTGATAGTTCATCTCTTTTTAGTCCGTAGTAATATTCCATTGTATGACTATAGCACAGTTTATACACTCATCTTTCTAAGGTTATCATTGTTACTTCACAAATTGGTTGAATTTTTGCATGCATGTTCATAAGGCAGTTCTCTTGTTTGTAACAATATCATCTGGTTTTGATTTAGAGTAATGCTAGCATTATACACTGAATTGAAATGTACTCTGTATTAAGCTATTTGTGCATTGCTATAGATAAATACATGAGATTGGGTAATTTATGAGGAAATAGGTTTCATTGGCTCACAGTTCTACAGGTTGTACAGGAAGCATAACATGGGGCTCTGCTTCTGGGGAGGCCTGTGGAAGCTTACAATTATGGTGGAACCTGAAGAAGAATTTGCACATCATATGGCTGGAGCAGGAGCAAGAGAGAGAGGTGGGAGGTGCCATGCACATTTAAATGACCAATTTTCATGAGAATCACTATTATGAGTACAGCACTAAAGGCATGGTACTAAATTGTGAGAAATCTTTCCTCATGATGCATTCACCTCTCACGAAGCTTTACTTCCAACATTGGGGATTACATTTCAATGGGAGGTTTTGGTGGGGACACACATCCAAACTATATCATAATTTTTAAGTTTAGGGGTAGAGTTTGTTTAAAATTATATCTCTTTTTTTTGTCTAAAATATTTGGTAGAACTCACCAGTGTAGGAATCTTGGCCTGGACTTTTCACTCTAGGAAGATTTTTAACTATAGCTTAATCTTTTATATATTTCGGGCAATGCAGGCTATCTATTTTTTCTTCAGATATTGTATTTTTTTGACTACTGCCTAGATTTTATTTTCCTGTTGTTGACATCATTTATATTTTGGCAAAAGAGAGTTTGATCTTTTCCATAAATATTTCCTCTGAACCTTTGCCAGAATCAGTATACTGTCATTCCTAGTTAAAAAGATTTTCTTATATTATACTTTAAGTTCTAGGTTACCTGTGCACAATGTGCAGGTTTGTTACATATGTATACACATTCCATGGTAGTTTGCTGTACTCATCAAACCATTATCTACATTAGGTATTTCTCCTAATGCTACCCTTCCCCTAGCCCCTCACCCTCCAACAGGTGTGTGATGCCCTGGTGTGTGATGTTCCCCTCTCTGTGTCCATATGTTCTCATTGTTCAACTCCCACTTATGAGTGAGAATAAGTGGTGTTTGGTTTTCTGTTCTTGTGTTAGTTTGCTGAGAATGATGGTTTCCAGCTTCATGCATGTCCCTGCAAAGGACATGAATTCATATTCTGTTTTATGGCTGCATAGTGTTTTGTGGTCTATATGTGCCATATTTTCTTTATCCAGTCTATCATTGATGGACATTTGGGTTGGTTCCAAGTCTTTGCTATTGTGAATAGTGCCCCAATAAACATACGTGTGCATTTGTCTTTATAGTAGAATGATTTATAATCCTTTGGATATATAACCAGTAATGGGATTGCTGGGTCAAATGGTATTTCTAGTCCTAGATCCTTGAGGAATCGCCACACTGTCTTCCACAATGGTTGAACTAATTTTCACTCCCACCAACAGTGTAAAAGTGTTCCTATTTCTCCATATCCTCTCCAGCATCTGTTGTTTCCTGACTTTTTAATGATCACCATTCAACTGGCGTGAGATGGCATCTCATTGTGGTTTTGATTTGCATTTTTATGATGACCAGTGATAATGAGCATTTTTTCATGTGTCTGTTGGCTGCATGAATGTCTTCTTTTGAGAAGTATCTGTTCATATCCTTTGCACACTTTTTGATGGGGTTGTTTCTTTTTTTCTCATAAATTTGTTCAAGTTCTTGTAGATTCTGGATATTAGCCCTGTGTCAGATGGATAGATTGCAAAAATTTTCTCCCATTCTGTAGGTTCCTTGTTCATTTTGATGCTAGTTTCTTTTGCTGTGCCAAAGTTCTTTAGGTTAATTTAGTCCCATTTGTCAATGTTGGCTTTTGTTGCCATTGCTTTTAGTGTTTTAGTCATGAAGTCTTTGCCCATGCCTATGTCCTGAATGGTATTGCCTAGGTTGTCTTTTAGGCTTTTTATGGTTTTAGATCTTATGTTTTAGTCTTTAATGTGTCCTGAGTTAATTTTTGTATAAGGTGTAAGGAAGGGGTCGAGTTTCAGTTTTCTGCATATGACCAACCAGCTTTCTCAACACCATTTATTAAATAGGGAATTCTTTCCCCATTGCTTTTTTTCAGTTTTGTCAAATATCAGATGGTAATTTTCACATTTCAATGAATTTGTCAATCTTTTCTAAGTTGTCATGTTTATTCACATAAATTTTATATTATTACCTTGTATTTTCAAGTATCTGTAGAATCTGAAATAATGTCACATTAACTCATTTTCAAAGTTGGTAATTTGTAGCTTTTTCTTTTCAAGAGCTAGTTTGGCTAGGTAGACTTTTGCTTTTATTGATCCTCTCAAAGTGTTTGGTATTGTTCAAGTTTTCTATCATTTTTGTGTTTTATTAGTTCCATCTCTGATGTTTTAGTTCTCTTTGCCTATTATTTTAAAAATCTATAGTTGGGAGCTTATCAGCAACATAAATTGAATTCTCACAATTTTGGAAGCTGCACAGTTCAAGATCAAGGTCTCATCAGATTTGATGCCTGAAGAGGTACCACTTCATGATTCATCGATACATTCTTTTCCCCTGTGTCCTCACATGGCAGAAAGGCTAAAGAGGCTTGCTGGGGTTATTTCTATCAGAGCTTAAATTCATTTATGAAGGGTTGGCCCTCGTGACCTAATTACATCCAAAAACTCCTATCTCTATGATTTGATTTTAGCGTATGAAAATTGCAAGGAGAAAAACATTCAAACCAATACAGATACTTATCATTTCCTGTCCTCTGCTTCCACTGAGTTTACTTTCTTCTTCTTCTTCTTTTTTTAGTTTCTTAAGGTAAAAGTCAAAATTATTTATTTGAGAGTCTTCTAATATAGACATTCGTACCGAAAATTTTTATTTAAGTGCTGTTGTAGATGCATTTTGCAATATCTAATGTGTTGCGTTTTCATTTGAAGTTAGTTCAAAATACTTTCTAATTTTCCTTTTTATTATTTTTTGAACCGACCCAGGGTTATTTGGATGTATGTTACTTAATTTGCAATGGTTGAGTTGTTCCAGGTACATTTTTATTATTGATTTTTAATTTGATTGCTTTGGGGTCAGGTAATGTGTTTTGTATGACTTAAAACCTTCTTGATCCTTTTATTAAGATATGATCTAGAATATAGTCTTTGAGTACTTCAAAAGAATGGTGTTGTCTATCATATTCTTACTGATTTTCTGCCTCCTTATTCTACCACTTGAGTAAGGGGTTCAGAAATTTTAGACTATACTTGGGCATTTGTCCATTTCTTTTGCAGTTCTATTTTTGTATCATGTATTTTGAAGCATTTATGTTATTATGTACAGAAATATTTAGGACTGTTATGTTTTCTTGATTAAGTGAACCCTTTGTCACTATAAAATGAGTTTGTTTATTGCTGGTAATAGTTTTGCTATGAAATGTACTTTGGTATTAATACAACCACTCTTCCTCAACCTTCTTTTGTCAAGTGGTAGTGTGGTATATCTTGTTTCATCTTTAACCAATTTTTGTCTTTATATTTAAAGTTTATTTATTATAGGCATTATACAGATAGATCTTACTTTTATATCCATTCTAACAATCTGCCTTTGAACACTGGTTTTTAGACTAGTTTAATTTATTATGTAATTATTGATATGATAAAAGTTGTCTGTCATCATGCTGTTTGATTTCTATTAGTCCCAGATCTTCTTTGTTTTGCTTTTGTTCTTTATCTGCTTCCTTCAGACTAGTTTAGTAATTTTTATGATTTAGTTTTATATGTATATATATATATAGATATAACTTTTTTAGTTATTGGTCTAGTTTTATATTTCTTTATGATTTAGTCATATCTTTTTGTGGTATAAGTTTATTTGGTTATTAGGTATAACTTTGCTTTGCTGTCTTAGTGGTTTTTTAGGATTTGTAGTGTATGGATTTATCTCATCACAACCCACCTTCAAGTAATATTATATCATATCATAGATGGTATAAGAAATTACAATTGTATATTTTCATTTCTTCACTTCCAGCCAGATTCCAGGCTGGATCTGTGGGATTGTAGCTTTCATTAAGTTTAGAATATGTTTAACCAATTTTTCCTCAAATGTTTTATTCTGTTTCTCCTCCTATCTGTTTGGGGACTTATATATTACCTGCTGGGAGTTTGCTTGTAGTTCTCTAGTGTCTGAAATTTGTGTATCTCTTGTTTCGTGATGGCAAATCAATCTATGCTCATATCTACTCAGTGTAGCTTTCATCTCTGGCATTGTAACTTGTATCTATACAAGTGCAATTTAGTTTTTGAAAGTATCTTCTATTGCTCTACTTATCTTATTGATTTTTATTGTAAAATAGAGTTGAGTTACTTATAAACAACTTGATGCTTTTCATTTTTGCTTTTTGTAGTATGAGCTAACTCCCCACACCTGAGGAAAGGCCTTTCTGACTATTCATTTTCCTGTGAAGTCTGAGTCTTCCAGATAAATCTATAAAAATAGATACTCTTCTTGCCACTATGTGAGCACCAGGTGTGATTTTCTCTAAATTTACAAGTCCCCCGCTCCGACCCAGCTTGGTCTTTTTTTTAATTTTATTTTTAAAATTTTTTTTGTTATTATCATACTTTGAGTTCTAGGGTACATGTGCATAACGTGCAGGTTTGTTACATATGTGTACTTGTGCCATGTTGGCGTGCTGCACTCATCAACTCGTCAGCACCCATCAACTCATCATTTACATCAGGTGTAACTCCCAATGCAATCCCTCCCCCGTCCCCACTCCCCATGATAGGCCCCGGTGTATGATGTTCCCCTTCCTGAGTCCAAGTGATCTCATTGTTCAGTTCCCACCTATGAGTGAGAACATGCGGTGTTTGGTTTTCTGTTCTTGTGAGAGTTTGCTGAGAATGACAGCTTGGTCTTCGGTAGTTTTCTGGCTCGCATGCAATCTTTATTATTTTGCTAAATACTGGGAGGGGGTTTCCAGGGGTTTCTTGCTGTTGCTTCTATATCTCTCTCCTCCTTAGTGCTTTGTTCTGTAATGTCTCTCTGCTTTGGTTTTACCAGACTCTAAGCTTCATCACTGTAACCAAGAGAGTCTGGTAGGTTCCACTTCAGTTTTTTTTTCCTGTGTCATGTCTTGGAATCTCTGTCAAGGCAGGAAGCTGAAACATTCATAAGGTTTGTTTCCCATTATTTTTCTGTTTTTCAGGGATTTTCGTCTTCTTTGACTAATGTTCAGTGTCTAAAAAAAAATGTTTAATGCATTTCGTGTGTTTTATTTTTAGTTATTTCAGCTAAGAAGAAAAATCAATACCCGTTGTTCTCTCTTGGCTGGAGCCAGACTACTCTAGAGCTTCAGCACATGCCACACACTGGATAAAATGCTTTTCTTCCCCCTTTGCTCAGCAGCTTCCTTTTCAATCTTCTTTCCACAGTGTAACCGTACATTCCTCAGGGGAATTTTCCATGGGCCTAGTATATATCTTATTCTTAGCAATCTGTTTTCTTAAAGTATCTATCTGAATTTATAATTGCCACTTTTCTGGGGCTTTGCTTTTCAGTATATTTTAAGCAAAACAAGAGCAGAGGTTTTTTTTTTTTTGTTTGTTTTTTTCCTGTTTAATCTGCAGAGCTTAGTATAATGCCTTCCACATGGTAGCCAATCAATATATATTTGTTCGGTGTTGCAGGAAGTCAGGGACCCCAAACAGAGGGACCAGCTGAAGCCAAGGCAGAAGAACATAAATTGTGAAGATTTCATGGACATTTATTAGTTCCCCATATTAATACTTTTATAATTTCTTATGCCTGTCTTTACTGCAGTCTCTGAACATAAATTGTGAAGATTTCATGGACACTTATCACTTCCTCAATCAATACCCTTGTGATTTCCTATGCCTGTCTTTACTTTGATCTCTTAATCCCATCATCTTCATAAGCTGAGGAGGATGTATGTCGCCTCAGGACCCTGTGATGATTGCATTAACTGCACAAATTGTTTGCAGAGCATGTGTGTTTGAACAATATGAAATCTGGGCACCTTGAAAAAAGAACAGGATAACAGCAATGTTCAGGGAACAAGGAAGATAACCTTAAACTCTGACTGCTGGAGAGCCGGGCAGAAGAGAGCCATATTTCTCTTCTTTCAAAAGCAAATAGGAGACCTATCACTGAATTCTTTTTCTCAGCAAGGAACATCCCTGAGAAAGAGAATGCATCCCTGAGGGGAGGCCTCTAAAATGGCTACTTTGTGGGCGGCTGTCTTTTATGGTCATAGACAAAGGGATGAAATAAGTCCTGGTCTCCCATAGCGCTCCCAGGCTTATTAGGACAAGGGAATTCCCACCTAATAAATTTTGGTCAGACCAATTGTCTCCTCTCAAATGCTGTCTCCTGATAAGATATTATCAATGATAATGTGTACCCGAAACTTCATTAGCAATTTTAATTTCAGCCCGTCCTGTGATCTCACTCTGTCTCCATTTGCTTTGTGATATTTTATTACCTTGTGAAGCATGTGATCTTTGTAACCCACACCCTATTTGTACACTCCCTCCCCTTTTGAAAATCGCTAATAAAACTTGCTGGTTTTACGGCTCAGGGAGCATCACGGAACCTGCTGACATGTGATGCCTCCCCCAGACACCCAGCTTTAAAATTTCTCTCTTTGTACTCTTTCCCTTTATTTCTCAGACCAACTGACACTTAGGGAAATAGAAAAGAACCCATGTGAATTATCAGGGGTGAGTTTCCCCCAGTAGTTCAGTGTATAAGTGATTGTTAAAATATGCAGCCCTTTATATCCCAAAAGTACTAATATATTTTATTTCTATCTCCTCCTTGAGACAGATTCAACTAGCCTATCAAAAAGCTTGGATGCAGTTCCTTCTTGTAAAAGAGCAAGGGAACTTAAAAAAGATCACTGTGAAAAACTTACAGCAGAAATTGAACGAATGAAAAATAAGTTTTGTGTACTAAAAAAGGAACTATCAGAAACAAAAGAAATAAACTCACAGTTAGAAAATCAAATAGTTAAATTGAAACAAGAGCTCTGCAGTGTGAGGTATGACATCCTAGTTTTAAATGAATATTTCAACTATTTATACTAAAATTATGTAGGATACTTTTTGTAATAGCTGACTTACCTTCTGAGGTTTAACTGGAGAAAAAAATCTCTGTCTTGTAGAGTGTCAAATTCTTTTAAATAATACAAGTTCTTAAATGTGAATATTTCTGCTGATAATTAAATGCATATTTATTTAAATCACAATTTTAATGGCTATATAGAAGGCCATTATTTGGAAATCCTTACTTAACTTACTTAACAAATTAATTTTTTTGATTTTTAAATTTCTGTATTATAAGTGATGCAAGGCATAACTGCATGCAAATATTTTTCTACCTTTCTAATTATTGACTTGGAATAAATTCTTCAATATAAAAATATTTGGCTAAATTATAAGAAGTTTTTAAGAAGTTATTTGTTCATTGCTTCTAAATTATTCTCAAGAAAATTTATATTCATTTACAGCTCAACAAACAGAGTGTGAAATGGCCATTCTTTTCTCCCCCAAAATCAATTTCTTTTAATTATACACGTTTAATGTGCATGGAATGTAGAGAAAATACAGAATAATTTATTAGTTTATTCAACATCTCTTGCTCTCCTACATAAATAAAATTAATTCAGAGTTCTATGTTAAATGCATATTATTTTTATTCTTTAAGTATTATATTCTGTCTTGTGATAAAAGAGATTTAAAATTTGTTGATAAAATATATAATAATCAACAAGATACATTTAAAGCATTACTCAAAAAAGAAGCAAAAGATATATGGGATAACAGATATTAGACTATTTAACCTAATCTGAGATTTTAATATTAAAATTATTTTTAGGGATACTTGCCATATTTTATAAGTATGAATATTTATGTCTAATAAATCAGTAAATTGTTCATAAAAACTAACCAGTTAACTTTAATCAGTCACTTTAATCAGTTAACTCTAAATGATCTGTCCTCATTGAGGAGTAATTTTGACTGTGTAAGATTTTTAAAAAGTAATTTTCAAATTATGAATTTGCTGGATAGCTTCCAGTATTCTTTTCCATAACAGTCATTGCTAGTTACAGAAACAGTCGTTAATAGTATGAGAAACTTTCTAACTAGAAGATGTTCTTTCCTCACTATTTTTCAAGTATGTATGTCATTTGGAAGAGGTTCGAGTAATAAATACCTGAGAACTAGAAAGAAAAAAAAATTCAAGAATATAGGAATTTTATTGGAATAATAAACCAATGTAGTAATAAATGTATCTCACAGTGAATTCTATTTTCTAACAAAATGAATTTTAAGATAAGTATGTTTAATGGCAGATTGACTTTAAACCAAGAAGAAGAGAAGAGAAGAAACGCCAATATATTAAATGAAAAACTTAGGAAAGAATTAGGAAGAATCGAAGAGCAACTTAGGAAAGAGTTAGAAGTGAAACAAGAACTTGTACAGGCTCTCAGAATACAAGATATGGAAGTGAAGAGTGTAAGAAGTAATTTGAGTCAGGTAAATCAATCTCTGATAAAAATTTTATATTTCTAACTTTATTTCCCTCTGATTTAGTATGAATTATTCAGGTCTAAATGAGACAAAAATGTTATCTTAAAATTATCACTTTTGTAGCTACGGTTATTTGTTATAAATTATGACATCCATGTAGTATCTTATTTCAGTACAAAGAGCTTTTGAAAACAATGATTATCCCTACCATATACTTAGTGATAATTTATTAGTACGTAGTTTTTTCCTAGCAACATAGTTAACATTTAATACTGACTCAAACATTATGAAGAGGAAGCAAAAGTTATTGTCATAGTAAACAAGCTCATGGTTTTCTATGTAGGGCTCTCTAGATTTTATCATCTTTCTTTTGTTTTTGAAATTGAAGACTTCTTTTATATTTACATATTTACCCAGTAGAATTAACAGATTTGGTGGACAGGTCCTGGATGTAGACTCATAAGACTGGGAGAAAATCCTAAAACTTGTTTATATTTTTAATCTTTTCCTTTCAGAATTGTGATAACTAAAAGTGCTTGTTACAATGTCTCAATTTATCAAAAATTCATAAATATAATTCTTAAAATTAACTATATATTTTTTAAAAATAGAATATCTAGAGAATATTCTCAGGAAAAAGGAACTGAAGGAACTTTGGGAAATTTTATCTGTCTAAATATATGCAGCACTAAGGCTCTTAGTATGGGATCTTGTATAAGTTAGACATCAGAGTGTAAACCCAGTTTTTGTAGGCAGTCAAATTGATTAATCTTTAATTTTATGCTGTTGAGTTTGTTGTAATTCAGGGAACATTTTTTTTTTTTTTTTTCAATTCTGAGGCTCTTAAAAATTCTCTAGTCATTTATTTTGTACTTTCATGAATTCATTGTCTTCAAATAAATGTTTGAACTTTGGGGAATTTATGCTCTATAGCATTTGAAGTTTTGACTCAATGGTTCTTCAACTGATACCTACTTATAAAAACTCATTGTATAAATGTATAAGTTATTCTTTAGTTTCAGAGGAACTATGTTATGCCATTTTGACTGCTAGCTAAAAGTTTATTTTGTTTTATTTAGGTTTCTCACACTCATGAAAATGAAAATTATCTCCTACATGAAAATCGCATGTTGAAAAAGGAAATTGCCATGCTAAAACTGGAAATAGCCAAACTAAAACACCAACACCAGGAGAAGGAAAATAAATACTTTAAGGACATTAAGATTTTAAAAGAAAAGAATGCTGAACTTCAAATGACTCTAAAACTGAAAGAGGAATTCCTCTAGCACTGCTGGGTTAGGGTCTCCCTGAGCTGGTCTCAGCAACTTTTCATAACATTAATATGTGTATGATTTTATAATCTCTATTTCCTTCACTTTAAGTTTCATAAAGGCAAGAATGACATCTATTTAGTTTTTCCTGTATTATTATTACATCTATTATTTTATCTGGACATAAAAGGCACACATAATTTATAGGATACTGTAAAATTAAATTATGCAAAATTTTACTGATGTAGTCAATTAAATGATGTTAAAATATTTAAAAGAATTTTATAATGGAATAGAAAAATGTATGTGTTAAAAATAAAAAGAACTGAAAATTCTGTATTTGGTATATAGGCAATTATATAGAAGAAAACAAAAACAAAACCACAGACTATGCACTAAAATGCTTGAAAAATACTTTATCACTTTTTCATTTATGAAGCTCAGTTTTGATAGACACAAAATTCTTGGCTGGATTTTATAAGGTTCCAAGCTAAAAGCAGGAGGATCCCAATCCCTCTGGTTTGTAAGGTTTTTGCTGAGACATTAGCTGTTAGTCTGACAGGTTTTTTGTTGTTGTTGTTTTTTGTTTTTTTGTTTTTTTTTTAATAGGTTACCTGATACTCTGTCTCACAGCTCTTAAAATTCTCTCCTTCACATTGACTTTTTTCAGACAAACAAGTGCTGGGGGAATTTGCCACTTCCAAACCAGCACTACAAGAAATGCTAAAGGGAGTTCTAAATTTTAAAACAAAAGCTTGCTATACAGCAAAATAGAACCTCCTTAAAGCATAAAACTATCAGGGCCTATAAAACAATAACACAATGAAAAATATAAAGTGTCTAAGTAACAACAGGATTAATTGAATAGTACCTCACATCTTAACATTAACATTGAATGTAAATGGCCTAAATGCTCCAAGTAAAAGAATATAGAATGACAGAATGTATAAAAATCCACCAACCACATATTCGCTGTCTTCAAGAGAGTCACCTAACACATAAGGACTCATGAAACTTAAGGTAAAAAGGTGGAAAATGATATTGCACAAAAATGAAAACTAAAAGCAAGCAGGAGTAGCTATTCTTATATCAAACAAAACAAACCTTAAAGCTACAAAGCTTTGTTGCTGTACAGTCTGTATCCTTTTTAATATTTAAAAAAAGACAAAGAAGGATACTATATAATGATAAAAGGATTAATCCAACAGGAAGGTCAGTTTCCTTTTTTGTCTTAAAAAAAGACAAAGAAGAATACTGTATAATGATAAAGGATTAGTCCAACAAGAAAATATTACAATCCCAAATTTATAGGCATCTAACACTGGAGCTCCCAGATTTATAAAACAATTCTTATTAATGAGAAGTGATAACATGCTAGCAGCCCTCACTCTTTTTTTTTGTTTGTTTGTTTGTTTGTTTGTTTTTGAGACAGTCTCTCTCTGTCACCCAGGCTGGAGTGCAGTGGCCGGATCTCAGCTCACTGCAAGCTCCACCTCCTGGGTTTACACCATTCTCCTGCCTCAGCCTCCCGAGTAGCTGGGACTACAGGCGCCTGCCACCTTGCCTGGCTATTTTTTTGTATTTTTTAGTAAACACGGGGTTTCACTGTGTTAGCCGGGATGGTCTTGATCTTCTGACCTCATGATCCGCCCATCTCAGCCTCCCAAAGTGCTGGGATTACAGGCTTGAGCCACCGCGCCTGGCCCCTCACTCACTCTTGGTACCTCCTTGGCCTCAGGGTCCACTCTGGCCATGCTTGAGGAACCCTTCAGCCTGCCACTGCACTATGAGCCCTCTCTGGGGCTGGCCAAGGCGAGCTGGCTCCCTCTGCTTGCAAGGAGCTGTGGAGGGAGAGGCACTGGCAGGAGTCGGGGCTGCAGGTGGCACTCGTGGGCTGGCGCAGGTTCTGGGTGGGTAGGGGCTCCGCGTGCCCTGCATTTGGTGTGGCCAGCCAGTGCCTGCTGGGCTTGACTGGGGGCAAGCTCCCTCTGGGCTGCCAGAGTTCCTGGGCTAGGTGCCACAGTCCCGTGGTGAGTACCATTGAGAGGTAAAGCCAGCTGGGCTTCTGGGTCTAGTGGGGACCTGGAGAACTTTTCTGTCTAGCTAAAGGTTTGTAAATGTACCAATCAGCACTCTCTGTCTAGCTAAAGGTTTCTAAACTCACCAATCAGCACTCTGTGTCTAGCTAATCTGGTGGGGGACTTGGAGAACTTTTGTGTCTAGCTAAAGGATTATAAACACACCAATCAGCATTCTGTGTCTAGCTAAAGGATTGTAAATGCACAAATCAACACTCTGTCAAAAAGAACCAATCAACTCTGTAAAATGGACCAATCAGCTCTCTCTAAAATGGACCAATCAGCAGGATATGGGTGGGGACAGTTAAGGGAATAAAAGCAGGCCACCTGAGCTAACAGGGGCAACCCACTCAGGTTTCTTTCCATGCTGCGGAAGCTTTATTCTTTCGCTCTTTGCGATAAATCTTGCTGCTGCGCACTCTTTAGGTCCATGACCTCTTTATGAGCTGTAATACTCAAGGTGAAGGTCTGCAGCTTCACTTCTGAAGCCAGTGAGATCACGAACCAACCGGGAAGAATGAACAACTACAGACGTACCACCTTTATGAGCTATAACATTCACTGTGAAGGTGTGCAGCTTAACTCCTGAAGCCAGGGAGACCACGAACCCACCGGAAGGAATGAATAACTCCAGATGCGCTGCCTTTAAGAGCTGTAACATTCACCGCAAAGGTCTGCAGCTTCACTCCTGAAGTCAGTGAGACCATGAACCCACCAGACGGAAGAAACTCCAGACACATCTGAACATCTGAAGGAACAAACTCCAGACACACCATCTTTAAGAACTGTAACACTCACTGCGAGGGTCCGTGGCTTCATTCTTGAAGTCAGCGAGACTAATAACCCACCAATTGTGGACACACACCTGAGAACTCAGAAAAACAGCAACACAGTAATAATGGGGAACTTTAATACTTTACTGACAGCACTACACAAATCATCAAAACATAAAGTAAAGAAGAAGCTATGAATTTAAATTACACTCTAGAACAAATACACCTAACAGGCATTCACAGAACGTTCTTCTCCCAAACTGCAGAATATGCATTCTTCTCTTCAGCACATAGAAAATTCTTCAAGATATACCGTATAATAGGCCACAAAAAAACAAGTCTCAATAAATTTAGAGAAATCAAAATCATATCAAGAATTTTCTCAGATCACAGTGAAATAAAACTGGAAATTACCTTCAAAAGGAACCCTTAAAACTCTAAAAATAAATGAAAATTCAACAATCTTCTCTTGATTAATGTTTGAGTTAAAAATTAAATCAAGATGGAAATTTAACAATTATTTAAAATGAACAATAATAATGACACAAATTATCCAAACATCTGGGATACTGCAAAAATGGTGCTAAGAGAAAAGTTTATAGCATTAAATGCCTACACCAAAAAGTCTGAAAGAGCACAAATAGACAGTTAAGGTCACACTTCAAGAAACTAGAGAAACAAGAACAAAGTACACCCAAACAAAGCAGAAAGCAAGAAACAACAAAAGTAAGAGCAGAACTGAAGGACATTGAAACAAAAAATGGAAAAGATAAATGAAACAAAAAGCTATTTTTTTTGAAAAGATAAAATTGGGACCCCATTTGAAGATTAGTCAAGAAAAGAAAAGAGAAAATCTAAATAAGCTCAGATAGAAATAAAACTGGACATATTACAATCAATAACACAAAAATTATAAAAAATTATTCAAGGCTACTATGAGCACTTTTACATGTACAGACTAGGAAATCTAGAGAAAATTGACAGATCTTTGAAAACATACAACCCTCTTAAATCAGTAAGAAATAGAAACCATGAAGAACCCAATAACAAGCAGCAAGATGGAACTGGTAATAAAAAGAAAGTTGCCAACAACCAGAAAGGCTAAAACCAGAGGGATTCACAGCTGAATTCAATTAGACATTCAATGAAGAATTGGTACTATTTCTACTAATACTATTCCAAAAAATAAAGAGGAAATGTTTACTAAACTATTCTATGCAGCCAGTATCATACTAATAGCAAAACCAGCAAAGGCTACAACAAAAACGGACATCTACAGACCAATGTCCCTGATGAACATATATGCAAAACTTCTCAACAATATACAGCTAACTGAATTCAACAGTACATCCAAAAGATAATACATCATGACAAAGTAGGTTTTATCCTAGGGATGCAGGGACGGTTTAACATATGCAAGTCAATATGATACGTCTTATGAACAGAATTTTTTTAAAAGTATGATCTTCTCGAAAATGCAGAAAAAGTATTTGATAAAATCCAGAATTATATTATGATAAATTTCCTCAACAAAATAGGCATAGAAGGCACTTACTTCAAACAAATAAAAGCCATTTATGACAAACCCACTGCCAACATCATACTAAATAAGAAAATTTGAAAACATTCCCCTTGAGAACTGCAACAAGACAAGGATGCCCACTTTTATCACTTACATTCAGCAGAGTAGTGGAAGTCCTGGCCAGAGCAATCAAACAAGAGAAATACATAAAGGGCATCCAACCTGGAAAAGAGGAATCAAACTGTTTCTGTTCACTGGTGGTATGATCGTATACTTAAAATACTCAAAAGGCTCATCTAAAAAGCCTCCAGATTTTATAAACAGATTTAGTAAAGTCTTAGGATACAAAATCAATGTAAACAAATTAGTAGCACTGCTATACACCAAAAACAATGAAGCTGAGAATCAAATTAAGAACTCAATCTGTTTTACAATAGCTGCAAAAATAAATAAATGAATAAATAAAATACTTAGAAATATATTTAACAAAAAAAGTGAAAGAGCTCTCTACAAGGAAAATTACAAAACACTGCTGAAAAAAATCATGGATGACCCAAACAAGTGGAAACATATTTCATGCTCATAGATTGTGACATGGTTAAGTTTGTGTCCTTACACTAACCTCATTTTTAATTATAATTCCCATAATCCCCGTTTGTCAAGAAAGAGACGAGGTGGAGGTAATTGGATCATGGGGGTGATTTCCCCCATGCTATTTTTGTGGTAGTAAATTCTTATAAATCTGATGGTTTTATAAGAGTTTGATAGTTCCTCCTGTGTTCATTCTCCCTCCTGCTGCCAAGTGAAGAAGGTGCCTTGCTTGCTTCCCCTTTACCTTCCACCATAATTGTAAGTTTCGTGAGTTCTCCCAAGCCCTGTGGAACTGTGAGTCAATTAAATCTCTTTCCATTATGTTTTATTATATATATAAATATTTTTATATAACATATATGTAAAATATATAAATAAATAATATATATATATTTCCAGTCTTGGACACTTCTTTACAGCATATGAAAATAGGCTAATAGATATTAAAAATTATTGTGAAAAATGACCATACTGCCCAAAGCAATCTATAGATTCAATGTAATTTTTATCAAAATACCATCATTTTTATTCACAGAACTGGAAAAAAAAAACTCTTCTAAATTTCATATGGAACCCATAAAGAGCCTTCAGAGCCAAAGCTATACTAAGCAAAAACAACAAATCTGGAGTCATCACATTACCTGACTTCAAATTATACTACAAGGCTCTAGTTACCAAAGCAGCATGGTACTCGTATAAAAATAGGCATGCAGACCAACAGAACAGAATAGACAAACCCTGAAATAAAACCAAATACAGCCAACTGATCTTTGACAAAGCACACAAGAACATAAAATGACACCCTATTCATCAAATGGTGCTTGAATAACTGTCAAGCCACATATGGAAGAATGAAACTAAATCTTCAGCTCTCACCTTATACAAAAATTAACTTCTGATGGATCAAAGTCTGAAATCTGAGACTAGAAACCATATAAATTCTAGAAGATAACATCAGAAAACCTCTTCCAGACACTGGCGTAGAAAAAGAATTCATGGCTTAGATCTCATATGCAAATAAAACAAAAATAAATCAATAAATGTGACCTAATCAAATGAAAAAGCTTCTGCATAGCAAATAATAACAATCAGCCGAGTAAACAGACAACCCACAGAGACAAAAATGTGCATGCAAACTATGCATATCAGAAAGAATTAATATCCAATAACTACAAGCAACTCAGGCAAATTGGCCAGAAAAAAACAAAGAATCCCATCAAATGTGGGCAAAGGACATGAATAGAAAAATTTTTAAAGAAAATATACAAACAGCCAACAAACATGAAAAAATGCTGAACATCACTAATTATCAGAGAAACGAAAATTAGAACTACAGTGAGATACCCCCTTACTCCTGCATAAATGACTATAATTAAAAAGTCACAAAAAAAGATATTGGCATAGATGTGATCAAAATGGAACACTTTTGCACTGCTGGTGAGAACGTAAGTTAGTACAACCACTATGAAAAGCAGTATGTGTATTCCTTAAAGAACTAAAAGTAGAACTACCGTTCAATTTAGCAATCATACCTCTGGATATCTACCACCACACCCCCTTTAAAATAAAAGTCTTAAAAAAATAAGTCGTTTTATGAAAAAGACATATGAACAAGTATTTTATAGCAGCACAATTCACAATTACAAAGATACAGAATTAACCTAAGTGCCCATTGTCCAAGGAGCAGATAAAGAAAATGTGATATATATGCACCATGAAATATGACTCCCCCTAAAAATGGAGCAAAATGATGTCCTTTGCAGCAACTTAAATGGAGTTAGAGGAAATTATTCTAAGTGAAGAAACTCAATAATAAAAAAACAAATATTGTATGTTTTCACTTATAAGGGGGAGCTAAGCTATGAGAATGCAAATGCATAAGAATAACATTAACATAAGGGACTTATATTATTCTAATATCTAGAATCTACAAGGAACTCAAATCAGCAAGAAAAAGTGAATAATTCCATCAGAAAGTACGCAAAGTTCATGAATAGACAATTATCAAACAATGATACACAGTCAAAAACATACGAAAAATACTAAACATCACTAATTTTAACTCAAGACAGAAGGTTGGGAGGGGGTGATAATTTAAAAAACATATTGGGTACAGTGTACACTGCTCGGGTGATGCGTGCACAAAAATCTAAGAAATCACCACTAAAAAACCCATGAACCAAAAACCACCTGTACCCCAAAAATCATTGAAGTAAAAATAAAACTATTTAAATAAATATAAAAGGAATGGAAATATACCAATATATCAACAATATTTCTGGATGATTTTCCATGTATTTCAAATGTTTAATAATGAGTATTTGTTATTTTATAGAACACATCCAAAGAAGCAATACATAATGAGTAAAATTTTTCATCTTCATGTAGATATAGAGCTACATAAAAAATAGTTAATGCTACCCTGAGGAGACTTAGAAACACCTGTATTCTATTGAGATGACTGAGTCTCAAGAAACTTCAATTTTCTTTTGCTCTTTCTTAGTAATGAATGCATCCATCATATGGAAATGTATCCCACAGTCTAGAAAGAAAAAGTCAATGACAAAGGTTGGAATCTTGTGTTTATTCACTAGCTGCCACAGGGAATGGGGCATTAAAGCAAATTAACAACATAAAAATGTTTGTTATGGGATATTTTTGTCTATTTATTTTAAAGTTGCTTAGATTTAAACTTTGTATTTTTTGTTTTTCTTTTCACACATAATGTTTTACATATGTATGGGATACATGTGAGTATTTATTACATGCAGAGAATGTGTAATGACCAAGTCAAGGTATATAGGATATCATTTTGAATATATATAATTTCTATGTGATGAGAACATTTCCATACCTCTCTTTTAGCTACTTTGTAATATAAAATATATTGTTAACACAAGTCACACTAGCCTTCCACTGGACATTAAAACTTACTTTTTTCTATGTCAGTGTGTTTTTCCCATTTGCTAGTCTCTGTTTATTTTCCTCTCCCAGCCTTCCACACTTCCCAGACTCTGGTATCTATCAGTCTATTCTCTATCTCCGTGGGACCAAGTTTTTAGCTCTTATGTATGAGTTGAGGACATGTGGTATTTGAATCCTGTGCCTTGCTTATTTCACTCAATGTAGTCACCTCCAGTTGCAAATGACTTAATTTTATTCTTTGTTATAGCTGATATTCCATTGTGTGTGTGAGTGAGTACTACATCTTCTGTATCCATTGGCTCATTGAAGAAACAATGGTTGATTTTGTGTCTTTTCGATTGTGAATAATGCTGTGATACACATGTGAGTGCATGGATCCCTTTGATATACTGATTTAGTTTCCTTTGAGTAAATACCCAATAGTGGGGTCCTGAATCATCTGGAACTTCTATTTTTACTTTTTGGAGAAATATCTATACTGTTTTCTATACTGGTTGTACTAATTTACATTCCCACCAACAGCATATAAACATTAATTTTTATCATATTCTCAACAGTGTCTATTATTTTTTGTCTTTTTAATCATAGCCATTCTAACTGAGGTAAGATGATGCCTCATTGTGCTTCTGATTTGCATTTCCCAGAGAATGTTCAGCATTTTTTCATGGACCTGTTTTTCATCAATGTGTCATCACTTGAGATATATCCATTCATGTCCTTTGACCACTTTTTTAATGAGTCTTTTATTATTATTCTTGAGTTGCTTGAGTTTCTTATATATTCTAAATATTGGTTGTCAGTTGAACACTTTTCAGTATATTCTATGCAACAGTTTGTCTCTTTGGTGTTTTGATTATTTCTTTTGCAGTGCAGAAGCTTTTTCGTTTATTATGGTTTCATTTTTTTTTATTTTGCTTTTAGTTGACTGTGGTTTTGAATTCTTAACCAAAAAATCTTTGCCCGGACCAATGTTCTGATTTTTATAATGTTTTCTTCTTGTAGTTTTATACTATTAGGTCTTATGTTTAAGTCATTAATCCATCTTGGGTTGACTTTTGTGTATTGTGAGAGATACAGTTTCAATCTTTTGCATATGGATATTCAATTTTCCCAACACCATTTTTTGAAGAAGGTATTCTTTCCCCAGTGTACATTCTAGCTGCCTTTGTTGAAAATCAATTGGTTATACAAACAGAAGTGTATTGCTGGGTTCTCCATTTTCTTCCATTGGTTTTGCTCAGGATTAATTTGGCTATTGTAGTTCTTTCTAGGTTTCATACAAATGATAGATTTCTGGTTTTTTTATTTCTATAAAAATGATGTTATTTTGGTAGCAACTGCATTGACTCTAGATTTCTTTGGATAATGTAATCATTTTATGATAGTAATTTTTTCTATCCATGAGCATGAGATTTCTTTAAATTTGTTTGTGTCCTCTTCAATTTCTTTCATCAGTGTTCTGTAGTTATCTTCGCAAACATTTTTCATGTCTTGGTTAAATTTACTCGTTGGTAATTTATATAGCTATTGTAAACAGGATTGCCTTCCAGCTTCATTTTTTGACTATTTTATTGTCAATGTGTTGAAACACTACTGATTTTTGTGTGTTAATTATTTTTTTTTAGATGGAGTCTTGCTCTTTCGCTCAGGCTGAAGTGCAATGGCATGATCTCAGCTCACTGCAACCTCTGCCTTCTGGGTTCAAG